AGCCATGTGTATTTCTCATATAAACAGAATGTTCTTAACTTTGTTCATTTGTCAAGGAAGGTTTTAATGTTTTCCTTATCAATTTGTATGAGTCTTTTAATGTGAAGGTTAATTTTTAAAGTTGTTTTATCTTTTAATTTTTTTAAATTATTTTTGATTTACAGATGTTTTAAACTGTAATGAGATCAAATATATCATATTTTTTCATTACAATTATGCTTTGAAAAAAATCTCCCTATCCCAAAGTAGATACTTTTATCTAGTTTTTTAATGGTTTAATCTATTTTATGTATGTATGTATGTATTTATGTGTGTATATGTAGTTATTTATTTATTTTAGTGAGAGAGATTGGCCATGAGCTAACATCCATTGCCAATCTTCCTCTTTTTGCTGAGGAAGATTGGCCCTGAGCTAAAATTCCTCCATTTTGAATATGGGATGCCATCACAGCACTGGCTGATGAGCGGTGCGCGCAGGTCCACGCCCGGGATCCAAACCTGCGAACCCCAGGCCGCCGAAGCAGAGCACTCAAACTTAACCACTACGCCACCAGGCTGGCCCCTAATCTATTTTTTTCTTTCAAACATTTAACCTAAATACTATGGAATAGATTTTTTTGTATGGTATAAAGTGAAGCTCTAATTTTCTTATCTTTTCAAATATTTAACCAGTTATCCTAACGTTTTGCTGAATGATTCTTCCTTTCCTCACTGTCTTGTTATAGCATTTTCATTTAATCAAAACACAAATCATACACATGCTAAGGTTTGGTTCCACTGATCTGCCTGTAAGTCTTCTATGGGTACCATACCATAATATTATTTAAAAAAACATATTTAGCTTTCTTTTTTTAAATTTACCTAAATGGCTATTACATTGGGATGCAGGGAGTAAGAAGAGAGGGAGTACCAGATTCAGGCCAAAATCTGTGAGAGAGCTGGGAAATGGCCAGGGATGGATGGAGGTCAGTAAGAATGTAGGGTGGAGGTTAAGCTGTTTCTCTCCAGAATCTTACATCACCCTTCTGTTACTCAGTAGGTGTTTGGCTTTGGGCAAGTTAATTCACCTTTCTGTGCCATGGTTTCCTTATATATAAAATGAAGTTGTTAAGAGACTAAGTGAGTTAGTGTAAAACACTGAGAACAATGCATAGCCCATGGTAAACATTATTATCACTTATCTGAAGCTATCTTCTACCTCCATCATGTCACTGAAATTACTTTTGCTAAGGACATCAATGATTCTTAACTGTCAAATTAATATGGCACAGGGATTAAAATTATAGGCTCTCTAGAATCAGGCTGCCTAGATTGGAACCCTACCTCTGCCATTTAAAGCTATGTGGCCTTGGAAAAGTTACTTGCTTATTCTGTGCCTTAGTTTCTTCATCAATAAAATGAGGATATAAATAGTGTCTACATATAGGGTTGTTATATGGAGTCCTGACAATGAATGTAAATTGCTTTGCACAAAGTCTGGCACACAAAGACATTCTCAGGAAATGGTCATCATAACCCTCATCTTACTTGATTGCCCTGGGCATGTGACACTGATATCAACCACAATTTTTGACACTGTCCTCCTTTGTTTTCTGGCACACAATGGTTTGGTTCTCAATCCACCACTTCATGTGCTCTCTTCTTTTACCTATCCCTTAAAACGCTGGCATCTTCCAAGGGCTACTGCACTCCCCAATCTTTGGTGACCATAAACTTTCTTGGTGTTCCTTCTTCTAAGCCAGGAGTTGGGAAATTTTTTATCAGAGGACCAGACAGTTAATACTTTAGGCTTGTGGGCCATATGATCTCTGTCACATTTACACATTGAATCATGAAAACATCCATTGAAAATACGTAAATGAGGGGGCACAGTCATGTTACAGCAAAAACAAGGCAGCCAGCCCATGGACCATGGTTTGCCAACTCCTCCTCTAGGTAGTTGTTAACAGCTCAGGTATCCCTTGATTAGACCACTCATCACATTGCATCTGTCCTCCCTACTAGACTGTGGGCTTCCTGAGAGCACGGTATCCTTTCGTCCTTGTATGCTCTATGTGTAGCATAGAATCTGGCAGATACATTCAACCAACATCTGCTGAAACACTGAATGAGATGATCACATGATATCAATCTTAACAGTTAAAAACTTTGTTGTGCTATAAGGAAGAAGGCATTTCTTCCATGTGAGCCCTTCAATAGCTACCAAAACAAACTATAGAGAAGACCTCTGGCCTGTATAACACACTGAAACATCTAGTAGAATTAATCTTTCTTTCTCAAATGTGAGAGGGAAATTCAAGTTCAGGAAATTCACAATTTCAGGGACCAAGTAATATTGCAGACATCAAAATAGAGCTGTCCAGCATGATCTATAAAACCGGACACACTTGACAGGAATTGAAAACCAGCTGTTTCCCAATTTCTGTTTTAAAAGGAGGAATAGGCTACAGGGCTTAGGGGTATATGCAAAGCATATGGAGAAAATTTATTTGCTTAAAGAAATGTGACATGGAGCTGGCAAAGGGCTCAGTTTGTAAGAGATAATGTCCTGGTCTTATCCTCAGGTGAAATTAAGAGGATAAGAAGGATACATACAGAGTCATTTCAGCTTTGTGATTAACGAAAGAGGAAACACCAATAAACACTGAAGGGAAAAAAAGAAAAGTAAAGTTGAAGCTGAACAGAACTGAATATACTCTAGGGAAGGCACCAGCTACAAGAACCCAGGATCTCCTTCAATAATAATGGCTTTAGTTAAACAAATTTTAGATAAAGATGACACTGGTTTAGGGGAAAATATGGAAACTGAAACCTCAGTCAAAAGTAACAGTGTGAATATTGAGTTTCTCTAAATATAGCGCAGAGGATCCCTATAGAGCTAAGAATACCTGGAAAATATATTAAAGACTCTGGCGGAGAATTTTATACTTCTGCAATATACTTAGAAACAGGTAATAGACAAAGAAGCATGTTTAACTTTTTCCTTTTAATTTCCATGTTCAAACTTAACCAGCAGTAATATTTTTAGTATAATTAAACATTTGCTTAACTCCTTTTATAGGAGATTATTCATTTTGTGTGACTCAACATATTCTCTCAAGTGGCAATTACCAGACAGCATTCTTTAGAATTTCTTAAAATCATAAAATCAATATTGCTGTGAAAGAAGGACCTAAGATTTTCTTAAAAGAACAAAGTTACTGTTGGTTTCCTTCAGCTTTCTACTTCCCCTTCCTTCATAAGAATTATGAAAGGATTCATCATGTGGCCACATGGACACTAATTCATTCATCCTTATACTTAATGAGCACCTGCTATATAGCAGGTACTGTGCTAAGCCGAAGGAGGCAAGACAAGTCAGACATTGTCCTTGCCTGAGAAGCTGACAACATAGTGAGAATGACAGACGTGTGTATAAGCAATTAAATTGCAATGTGATGCTACAGTGAGGAAGTGGTTAGGGACTGGGGTAGGGGAGGGGGGACTCTAAAGGGATAGCACCAGGGAGTTTTCTAAGGTGATGGAACTGTCTGCATACTGATTGCGGTGGTGGCCACACAAATCCACATGTGTTAAAATTCATAGACCCTGTATGTGAAAAGAGAAAAAAAAAGGCTATGGGCCGGCCCCGTGGTTTGGTGGTTAAGTGCGCACGCTCCGCTGCTGGCGGCCCGGGTTCGGATCCCAGGCGCGCACCGACGCACGGCTTCTCCGGCCATGCTGAGGCTGCGTCCCACATACAGCAACTAGAAGGATGTGCAACTACGACATACAACTATCTACTGGGGCTTTGGGGAAAAAAATAAAAAAAAGAGAGGAAAAAAAGGCTAGTTTTACTGTATGATAATTCAAAAATTAAAATAAAAAAACACAGTGTGATAGATGCCTGTCAATAGGAGTATAGATAAGTAAACTACGGTATATTCATACAATGGATACTACTGAGCAATGAAAGGACTGGACTACTGATAAATGCAACAACATGGATGAGTCTCAAAAGCGTCACCATGTGAAAGAAGCACGATACAATGAAGTACATCATGTACGACTCCATTTACATGAACTCCTAGAGCAGGCAGCATCAACAGAGGATGACAGAAATCAGATCAGCAGTTGCTTCTGTGCGGGAGGGTGGGGGTGGGGTAGGGATTGACTGGGAAGGGACCTCAATGAACTTTCAAGAGTGATTGAAATATCCTGTCTTGGTCAAAACTGATTGAATAGTACTTTTAAGATCTTAGTACCTCAATAAATGTAATTTATACTTCAATAAAAAATATGCATTTAGCTGTTGGCTTGTCTTTCACAACACAGAATTTCTAGTGGTGTTTAAAGTTGTAAAAAAACATTAAGAACTTCTCTATCATGTTATCATTTTCTTTTTAAGATAAATTGGAATTTCTTTTGCTTTCTTAATGAAACAAACATAACATCCAACAATAAATCTTACGACAAACATAATTAAAATGCAGAGTATGCAGCAGTAGGGGGATGAGGAGGACAGAACTCTGCACTCTGTGGGGGTGAGGATCTGCTATCGGGGAAGGCATTCAGAAAGAAGTGAGTCTCATCTGGATGTTGAAGAAAGGGCGGGAGTTCAATGCACAGACCAGGAAAGGAACAGCATTCCAGAACAACACGTGCAGAGTCACAGTTGAGAGAGAGCTGGGGGACGTCCTTCTGGTGAGGAGCACACATGGGTGCTGGGGAATGAAGCTCTAAGGAGGGCAGGCCCAGACTGTAAAGACCACCCCTTTTCTTCCCCCACCCCCAGTGCTAAGCACTTTACGTGGACAGTTTAACTTAATCCTCATAATCACCTCCACTTTTAAGAACCTGAACTTGCCCAGGTCCCTCGGCCGTTATGCAGGGAGCAAGCATTCCCACACAGAAAGTGCGGGTTTTCACTCTCAACCTCGTCAGTGTGCTGCCTCCTACCTGCCATGCTGGGGAGTCTGGCCCTGATCCTGGTGCTGAGGGGACCTGAGGGAAGCTTGTACCTGACTAGAATCTGCTTTAAAGACATAACTGGCCTCTGACAAGAATGGGTCATTTGGGTTGCGGTTCTCCATCTTCTTTTCTGCCTCAATTCGCTTGAGAGCAGAACTATTTGTAACAAGATCATTAGTAACAGTGGCAAAGCAGTGATCACCAAGGGCTTGCCCCCCATTCCACAAATACTGCCCCCGCCAAGAGGGTCTAATTTTGGGACTGGGTCAGCAATGGGATGATGGTTCTATAACTTTCTAAGGGGGGCGGGGTACTCTCGGGGTCCCCGAATCTAAATGGGAACATGTATGGAGTAGAGGGTCCCGTCCTGGGGAATTCTGTGCAGATGTCCTCACCAACCATCTCAGAGGATGCTGAGCCACTGAGGTCAACAGCACCTGCTGATCAGCTCTTTTCCAGATCTTGGGGATGATCTGGATTTCCTGGTCCCTGGGCTGGCTCAGGTACGGAACTCTGTCAGGCTTGGAGGTTTTGGAGGCATTCTTGAAGAGAGGACGTTGCCTCCAGGGTGCTCTAAGTATTATGGTTCTCTGCTGGAGGGGACCCCAAGAGAGGCTCTCAGAAGAGCCTGAGCCCTGCTCTCAGAACCGAGACTTCCTAGTGAAGCTCCTTCTACTGGACAGAGATGAGATGAGGATGGTCAAGGGATTGGCACTGGAACTGAAGAACTGCCTTAATTAACAATGGCTTTAAAATAATCACAGGAAAGCTGCACAGAGCTCTGTAACTTAAAAGCGTGTTCACTTTCATTATCTAAAAATAATTTTGAGCCCCACAAAAACGCTGGAGGTCAGCATTTTACAGAAGAGGACACTAAGGCTTAGGGAGGTTAAGCTGCTGATGCTTGTATAGTTCCCCCGCCTGCTTTCTCCCCTTAGTTCCCTCTCTCCTTCTCTGCCCAACTTTCTTCTTTCAGTTTTAAACAATAAAAACAATAGCTATTAGTCAACTACGGCCCATTCTATTCTAGAAAGGATTTGCAGCAGCCTACCAGGTTACAAAAAAAATAGGAAGATAGTATAAATTAAAAGTGGGAGTGAATAGGAATGAAATATAAGAATTAGACCTGAAATCAGTCCAAAAGTTACAGTAAACATGTTATAACGACCTATATATTTCCTAGTGATGGGGCACAAATTTGATTCTAAGTTTCCAGGAGGCAATGTGAAAAAGGAGCCATAGGCCAAAACAATAATAACAGCAATGACAAAACAATCAATTCCTCAGGAGAAGTACAACGATTTTAGCTTCCTTTTTTTGTTGTTCTGGTGAGGTAGATGGTTTCTGAGCTAACATCTGTGTCCATCTTTCTCTATTTTGTATGTGGGATGCGCCACCACAGTGTGGCTTGACGAGCGGTATGTAGGTCCACACCCAGGATCCGAACCCACGAACCCTGGGCTGCCAAAGCGGAGCATGCAAACTTAACCACTATGCCACTAGGCTGGCCCCCAATTTTAGGGTCTTAATAATGAGGACATAAGTCATAATGCACAGCAACTTCCTTGATGCTTTAACAGCTTTGAACTAGGCCTTAAAAGGTGATTCTGGTTTTCACACTGTCTTTCCAGTATATAAAAGCACTTCGCATGGCATGTTTTAAAGAACATGAAAAGTACACCATCTCTCTCAACTCCTGTAGCAAATTCCATATATGTATAGAAATCAAAGCAGGGGAGTCCCCAGTGAACTCATTAGTTGGTGAAGCAGCTTCAGGACCCAGAGAGATGGCAGGGCAACCATTTCCACACTTGATACAGGAGAAGACAAAAACCTGCCCACTGCACGACAGGAATAAACAGGTCTTCATGGCAATGTTTTATCTTATTTTGTAAACTGTCTCAACTTCATGATTAGGACTTGGTGGCAATAACTTGACCTTTACATCTTCATTCCTTATGACGACTGTTTTTAATACAGAAAGCCATTATTCCTGAGTGCCGTTTTCTATGTCGTACGTTTTGCTGCACTCACGCCCCACGGCCAGGGTTTGTTTATATTGGCTATTTCATACTTTCCTCACTCAGCCTTCCAGTGTCCCTTACTTTTATGCCAAGGAATGGACAGAGAGTTTTTCCTTTTTATAATTTATATACGCAGAAAACACATCCAAGTCAGGAATGCCCCTTTCATCCACAGGAAGAGTCTGGGGCCACCTGACTCATCAACATGACAAGTCCAGAAATAGAAAAAGCAATCTGGCTGAAAGGGAGACACGGGTGGAAACTTCTACACAGCACACAGCTGAGGTGCTGTGTCGTATGAGATTAATTCCCTGAGGTCACACAGCTAAGATGCCATGTCGTGTGGAATTAATTCCCTGAGGTCAGCGATTAGAATCAGGTTACAGCCCCAATGTGACTCTGCCTGCTAGTTACTTGATCCGTTACTCTATTCACTTCATTGAGAGAGATGCTCAACCATGACTTCCAAAGGTGGACCCGGGGACAGATGGAAGGAAGCAGACAGCCAGAGAAATGACAACCCGTTTTTTCACAAATAGATGTGTCTCCCAGGCACCTAACTGAAATGATTATTCCCTGCCTCTCTAAGTGAGGGATCAGATGTGTCATGCTCCTCCTTTTCCAGCAAAATGAGGCACTGAGATCACAGAGCTTTTTGGCAAAGTGCAAATGATGATGAAGAAATTAATTGAGTTACGTCCTGTCACGAGAGGCCCTGAGGTGAGACGGTAACAAAACCATCCTTTGTCCAGGAACGAGGAGGAAGCCAAGGCATGAACAGTGTGGCTAGAATGGTGTAGGCACGTATCTTTGGACTTCTGAAGACTTATCTCCCTCTATTAAAGACATTCAGAGTGGCGATAAGAAGGAATGCCAATGGCCAGATGGAGATGTTGGAATAACAAGAGTACCACAAACAGGGATGACTCTAAAACACAGGGAGTAGATTAGGACAACAGCCTTTACTTAAAGGGGGCACTGAGCAGTGCCTGAAGGGTTGGTGGAGGTGAGGAACAGAATGGAAACAGTGGATCTGACAGCTGGTATCTGACAGTGGGAGACTCATATACATCTCATCAATTTATAAACCACTGTCATCAATAATAAAAATAACAGTGGCAGAAGCTGCTGTCACTGTATCTTGAGCGACTGCTCTGTGCCAGGCACTGCACAAAGAGCTTCATGACCATTACCTTACTGAGGAGTGCTGTCCCCTCCCTTCCCACATGGCTCTCAGGTGTCCCTTTGCTATTTGGGGATGTATTTCCCCTTCTGGGATATCCTTGATGTTCAAGCAAGCTACTGGCGCCTGAGTAACAATGCTGGGTGGTGAGGACTGTGAGGATGGGAGAGATCCACCCTCTGACTGGTTCACTGCAGACTCGGACTCACAAAAGGCTGCTGAGGGGGTCAGGGTCACCAGCTGACCCTGGGGGCTGATGTGAAGGAACTCACCAACTTCTTGCTTTTTCCCATTGTTCTCATTTCTGCCCCCAAATCAACACATAGTGAAAGAAAAGAAGGGAAAGACTGATGCCTATAGCCGAAGTGTGCAGTTTAATGGCCAGAAACCAGACTTGTCTCATGTAATCAAATCATCGTAGAGTTGGTGACAGAGTTAAGACAGTTGAAAAAACAGTTGCCATTCCAACTTTCGATTTTCAAGTTATTGTTGGGGCTAACATTCTCTCACCTCAAGAGTTTTTATTTTGGAAAATCGCCAAAGCACACTTTTAGCCATATTCAAGCAATTGAAACATGAAAAAAAAAGCGATGTTTTTCAGCCACATTAAACTCTAACCAGATGCTCTTAAAAAACGTTTTGCATGTACACAGCACCTTTTATTCTAGTGGAGAGTCATTTTATTCACCCCTGAACTATATCCACCACGGCTTGAAAATACTAACTCTTTAAGAGCCATGGTAACCCACTGACACAGCCAGCTCCAGAGAGGAAGCAGAGGACCCACAGGCCTTTCTAATTCTCCCTCTCCACTCATGCCACTGGGAATCCAAGTCAAGTCAACTTTTTTTTTTTTTTTTTTTAAGATTTTATTTATTTTATTTTTTTCCCCCCAAAGCCCCAGTGGGTAGTTGTATGTCGTAGCTGCACATCCTTCTAGTTGCTGTATGTGGGACTCGGCCTCAGGATGAACGGAGAAGTGGTGCCTCGATGCGCACCCGGGATCCGAACCCGGGCCACCAGCATCGCAGCGCACGCACTTAACCACCAAGCCACAGGGCCGGCCCAAGTCAAGTCAACTTAACAAACATTTACTGGATACTTTCTCCGTACCAGGAACAAAGCTGAAGAATAGTGGGAAGCTGGCATAAATTTAACCAACTGGCAAAGTGAAAATGGTGTCTACGATTCCAACAAAAACATGTTAGGGTCAGGACCCTACCCGAATGGCTCAACTGACTGTTTTGCTCACCTGCAAGACAGTGCTTCTGGCATCTTTTCTTCTACCAACTACTAGGCAAAGAGAGAAACAGTTGGGGCATTTAGAGGAAAAGCAGTGAAGAAAATTAATGACAGGTTGCCTAGAGTCCATGAATTCCCAGGTCACCACCCCAGAGCATGACCTGGCAGAACTTGGCTCAAGCAGTGTTTGGCCCCCCAGTAACCACTTTGACCCCCTCTAGTCTCCACATGAGAGCCAAAAAGAGCTTTTAAAAATGTCAATAGGATTATGTAACCTTCCAGATTAAAACTCCACAGCAGTTTGCTTTTATACTTAGAATAACCCCACTCCCTACCACAACCACAAGGCCTCCGTGCCTGGGCTCCACTTACCCTTAAGTCTCTCTGTTCTCCTCCTGGGCCACGACACCCCAGCCACAGCGACCTCCTGCAGATCCTAGAACATGCCAGCTCCTTTCTGGCCTCAGAGACTTGATGCTATTGATCTCCTACCTGGACTGCTCCTTTTGGTCTAGCTCCTTCACATCACTCAGGCCCAGCTTCAGTGTCTCCTCTTCAGAGGTCTCCTCTGACATCTAAAGTAGACCCTCCCTTCCCTCTCCATTCTCTGCCACGATTTTCTCTTACTTTCCATCGTAGCACTATCACAAGTTGTAATTATTTGATTTATTTGAGAATTTGCTTTTATTTGGTTCCTCCCAGAGACTTTAAATTCCAAGACGGCAGGAACCAATAACATCTCCTATTTATTTATTTATTTTTTGAGGAAGATCAGCCCTGAGCTAACATCTGTTGCCAATCCTCCTCTTTTTTGCTGAGGAAGATTGGCCCTGGGCTAACATCTGTGCCCATCTTCCTCTACTTTATATGGGACGCACCACAGCATGGCTTGATAAGCTGTGCATAGGTCTGCACCCGGGATCCAAACGTGCAAACCCCGGGCCGCCGAAGCGGAGCGTGCGAACTTAACCCCTATGCCACTGGGCTGGCCCCAACATCTGCTTTTTAAATGTCATATCCCTGTGTTCTGCATAGTTCCCAAACATGCCAACATGCAATAAATAACTGCTGAATGGATGAATGAAGTGAATATAATTCCAAATAGTAAATTAAAAAAAAATGATAGAAGAGGGACATCTTTTAATTTCATTTTATGTTTTTACTACCATAAATACTATATACTACTGTAAATCTTGGATTTCCGTTAGAGGTTTTTCATGTATTCATCTTAACCAGGACCACCCTGACTGAATCGGAGAGGCTGAGAGAATGGAGATCTAACTACGGCGACAATTAGAAAGTTTCAAAATGCGTGCTTTTAAACACAGGTTTGGCACACAATGCATTATGAGTAAGGGGGGAATCAGTCCTCTCTCATTTAAAGAGATCTGTGGTTGAAAGCAGAGCTGCTATTATGTATGTAGCATGTGTTCTTTAACTTAAGAAAAATTACAAAAGAATCTTCAAGTCAAGCACCAGAACACTAAGGAGGGATAGCACAATGCATTCCTGGGAAGCTATTGTGGAGCTGGTTTGAGCAGAACACCCTTGTCATCCTGCCACGGGCCCTGGCCAAACCACGGAGTTGCCTGGAAACTCAGAAGTACCCTGGGTGCTAGTCTCTGCCTCCCCAACCCTGCCCAGTGGCTAAAAGGGAAGATCTTGAGTCTTCAGCCTGTGTCCTGTCTGGTTCTTTGGCCAGTGAGAACCAAATCTGGCAGGCTACCAGGAGCCTGGCCATACCAGAAAGGGAGGCCTAGAATTGTCTTCCTGCCTAGGGATGCTCTCGGGAGGGCCTGGAGCCAGTCCTGGGTACTTGTCTACTGGATGAACAGCAGCCTTTCTCCAGTCACCTCCTGGTTTGCTCAGCCTTTAGGACTAATCTTTCTCCTTGGTTTCCTCAGTGTATTTAATTTCTCTGCTATGACTGTAGCTGCTCAGCACCTAGTTTATCTGGATGGGGTTCAGATTCCTTGCATAATTCTTGTCTTTCCATGTCTCTTGCTCCCTATTCCCTAGCTGCTGCTTGGGATCTGGCCCCAACACAGGCAGCTCACCTGGAATCATAGTGCAGCCACCCCCCAGATTCTCCCTGCAGGGTTGAAACATCCTGTTGTAATGTAGGCTACTGGTCCCCAGGCTGGGGCAGCCTCACCTCATTCCTCACCCCCTTCCCAAGGCTGGCCTCTGAGGTTCCGGCATCATTCCTCAGTAAAAGTGCATGGAGGTGACACCAGTGGCCCCCTCAGGGCACAGGGATAACCTTGCTTAAACCCAGGGATCACTTTGGGAAGCTGTGACATACTGGCTTCTCCAAGGCTTTATGTCAATACAGGCCACCCAGTGGTGTGAAATTTAAAGCTAGGTCACACAATTTTCATGAGTTAAACAAGAGGCTAAAATTAGATGAGCTCTGAGTTCCTTTTCAGGTGAAACATTCTGGAGTTCCACAACAAGGCCTTCTGGTTCCAAATCCTGTGGGTTTCCCATTACACCTCCTTGACTAAATATTCTACTAAAATGCCTCTAGTGGCTCCCTACTGTCTACAGAGTTCAGTTACAACATCCAGCATCAAAGCGTCCATGGCCCTTAACATTCTGGGCCCACATAAAGATTCCACTTTGCCTAGTCCAAAGCTGGACCCCGCACCCCTGTCCCGCGGGCCTGGGAGAAGCTTGCCATTGCTGAACTCATCATGTGCTTTCCTGGCTGCCTGCCTGTGCTCACAGTGTGTCCTCTGCCGAGAATGCCCTCCTTCTTACCCCTCCCCTGGCAGAAACATCCTCCTCCTCCCCCAAGGTGTCCAGTTCAAATATTCCCACCTCCACCCCCACCCTGTAAAGCTTCCCTGCCCTCCAGTTCAGGAACACTCAGGCAGCATTAGGTTTAGCTCTATGCTATAAAGCTCAGCCCACTAAAATGAGAATTTTGACATGTCCCTCTTCCACTAGACTGTGAGTTTTTGAAAGACAGCGACGGGGCAACATTTTTTTTATCTTTATAGCACCAAGACCTAGCATAGTGCACATCACATTGGGGACATGTAGGAAATATCTGCTGAAGTGAAGTGAAAATTGTGCTTAGGGACATGTACACCTGTCCTTTAGGCTATAAGAGACAACAGTTAGTAGGGGAAGATTTGAGCTGAAAAATTAAACAAGTTCTCTGTTGATACATCTCTTTATAAGATGTGCAATTAGTAAGGAAAACAAGGCTAGAATGAAATTACATTTTTAAAGAGAAGAGGGCTGAGAGGGGGAAAGACTTCTAACTCACGTATTTTCCTATTCAAAAGGAACTTTCCAGCCAAGAAGAAAACATTGGTCCAATCTGAGATGTTGCTGGAATTATTCTTTCTCTCCTTTTTTCTCTAGTTTTCAGAGAACCAGTGCCCATTTGGAAAAGTAATATGGATGCAAAAGTGAGGAAAGCTATGCAGGATGTATATCAACAAGGTTATTAAGTGATGATAGCTATGCCAAGAGAAAAGCATTACATAATGACATCAAAATAGGACACTTGAGGAATGCCTTAGAGCTAAAACAGCTGTCACCTGGTATTTTGGCGTTCTTGAAGTATATGAAGAAATAGCCCCTGGAAACCGAAGGGTACAAATTATTTGCAACAACAAGATTCAGAGGTCAAGAACATGTTTTCCTCATTTTTTAAAAGTTAATCTGTTAGTATCATTTTGACTTTAGAAAAATATGAATCCCTAAAGTATGTATAATTCCAAAACACTGCCCACAGATGGGTTTCAAAGGAGAGAGAGGCGCCCTCATTATACTAGGTTTTCCTAAACAGACCTGTTGACTTGGAGACACTTTCTATTTTGTGGATTATCCAGACCTTTAATTTTTACAGAGAAATCATTAATCCCACCCTTAGGAACCCATGAAGGAGAGAGTAATATGTGAAATTTAAATCCATCCCTTTTGCTGCTGGTAAAATGTCTGTTAGGAAAAGAGTTTAAAACCCTGGCATTTAAAAGTGACTGAGGGTTTAATGTGTGTGCTTTTCATGTTCCTTTACCTTCCAGCTCACTGATGGCTCTGCTGAAGGGGCTCTGTCCTAGAGCTGCTGCTCTCCTTAGTCCTCTTACTCTAGTGGTTGGGTTGCTTCTTCCACTCAGCACAGATTTCCTGTGCACTGACTGTGGGTTGGGGGCTGGGGCCACTGTGCTGGAAAGTGCAGTCTGCGCTCCGGGGACCCTCAGTCTAGCGAGGGACAGACAAGGAGGCTGGCAGCTGCAGTGATGTGGGGTTGAGGGTTATGCTCTGGGTGCCTTGGGAGCACCACAGAGGGAATGTAATCCAGCCGGGGCAGGGAGAGGACAGTGGGAAGGATGGGACTTGGAATTTGAGTGAAGAAAAAGGGAGGCACGCCCAGGGAACACCGTCTCTGATGTCCTGTGATCCAGCTCTGCTACCAAGAACCCCACATTTCTTTTTACAATTCATAGGAAACAAACAAAAAGAAGGTCAAACAAATTAGTTTATACCTCACCATATTTTTAAGAACTAGTACTATATATCCCTCTCACCACCCTGCAGATATCTAAAGGGATAACTGTTAGTAAGAGGTGAGTAAAAAGCACCAGGTTAGGTTTTCCAGGATCATCTTCAAATCATCAACTGACAGACTCACAGAACATTAGCGCTAAAATAGAACTAAGATATCTTTTTTCAGTGCAAAACCTTCACAGAGGAAGGAATTGAAGCTCAGGGTCAATGAAAAAATGACCACTAAGAGATGAGGAATCTTTTCTCTTGAATTTCCCTTTACTTGGTTGCTTGGTCACTGTGAGTAGGTGGGAATACGAACCTTCAGAGACTCTGTTCTGCGTAAGTACATGTGTACTCACAATTCCTTCAGTTATCTGTTCTGCCAGAGAACTATGAGTCAGCCCAACATTCCTCCACTTCCTCCCCGTGCAGACACCCATTTTCAGAAAACACTGTGATAGGAAGGCTACAGGAAGAGGATTGAGTGTCTCCTTGGGGCTCAATTTTTGAAATTTAATTGACAGACTAATATTAATTCCATGGACTCAAGGAAACTTTAATCGAGATGAAATTTATGATAAATATATTTTAGGATATACACAAGCAGAGACAATTATGTTAGTTCTGGAACAGAGGCCCAGTGGACACTGTGCAAATGAAAAATAAAGAATTATTAAAACTGGGCCGGCCCCATGGCTTAGCGGTTAAGTGTGCTCGGATCCCAGGCGGGCACCGACGCACCGCTTCTCCGGCCATGCTGAGGCCGTGTCCCACATACAGCAACTGGAAGGATGTGCAACTATGACATACAACTATCTAATGGGGCTTTGGGGGAAAAATAAATAAATAAAATTATGAAAAAAAAAAGAATTATTAAAACAATAAATGGCTATTGTTTCATCAAGTTACTTATATTTCAAAAGTTTATGTCACCAATATAATTTTAAGTGAAAAGTTGTCCTTTAACTCTTTCAAAGCTGACTGAACAGGAGGTGAAAAGTCTAATTTAGGCCCATTATGGTATGTCAGAACCTCTCAAATATGCCAAGTGAAAAGGGAAAGTTTGATA